GTAGTGGCACATAGGATTTCTTTGCTATTGCTGTGTTTATCTCTAGCAAAGGAAATAGAAGAATAACGAGGGTAATTTGAGGAAAACTAAGGCGTGATACACAGCTAACTGTATTCCAATAAAAAATCGTGGGGACCGTTATCTGTTAGCTAAACGAAGGTCCTTATAGGCGCTAAAGACAACTGACAAATCGTACTACAGCTCTTTCTATAATTTTCTTTTTTTCTCAAGAAAATTTGTGACTTCTACTACGTAAGTCCAAAAGTTCTTCTTCCTTGACTCGTAAATTTCATCATCAGAGAATATATCAAATTAACAAAATAGTTAAGAATCACATTTCGCCTAATTTATCAAACTTTCATATCAGACTCATTTGACAGCGTTCATGACCTATTTATTGATTCGATCCTAAGCATTTGTTGACCCTCACCGTCATCTTTGAAGAACATTACGAATTTCAGCTCAATCCTTCACCAACTACTTCCTCTTGTGCTTTGTTTACTGCACAGCGTTGTCATGCAAAACCGGTGAGCAGGGCCTATTAGGTGTCCTGCGACGACGAGGCTTGCAGTATTTCGTTCTAGCTCTAATTGACGTTGAAGCCAATTACATGATCGTCTATGCATATCAGTTCACTAACCTCACAAGTGTGCAGGTGAGCTCTTTATCTCTGCTTAGTTTGAAATCATCTGAGTTTTCTCCCGTTAAGCTCCTCGACTGTTCGGTCATTCCAACAGTTTTACTGCTTTCGTGGTTGTTCCTCTCAGTTCGATATCTAATTTCCCACATAATAGGTATCTACTTCAGTTTATAAGCAACTCAGGCTTGCTTTATTATATTTTTTTAGGTGTGTGTATATGTTTGGTAGGCATTGCTTGCTTGATATGGGCCGACATTTTGGGTGAAAAGGGAACCATCGGAGGTTTGCAAATGAAATTCTCATTGCGAAACCATTTCAAATTCCCATCGCCAAATTATTTCACCATATGGCATACTTTTTTTTACAACCTGTACCATTCTATTTGTTTTACCTTAATCTTTCAACTGTTTGCGTTGACGGTATAACCAAGGCTGAAGCGCCTCCTATACATCGGCGCAACCCTTCATTATATGCATTA